GCCAAAAGACAGAGATGCCATGGAAGTATTGAGATATATGACTTTGTTTAAAGTCTCTAATTATAACCTTATATATGTATATAGGTACGTTATTTTAAACTTGGTTGAAATTAAATACATATATTACAGAGAAAAGTATGATCTTACAATAACTGGTACAACGCAACTAAACAACTTAACAACTTTCAAAGAAATTTGATATAAAAATTGATCGAGCACTGTCATAGACTATCTATTATCTCAGAATGTAACCTGGATGGAGGCATATAGGTGGTGAAAGTTTCTACAGTCCCGGGTAACACCTAGTTTCGTATATTTAAGAATATTTAATTCTATGTCTATCTATTGCAGATAGTGTTAAGTTTTCAAAACTAAAATGCTCTACATGGTACTTAATATATACGCAATGCAATACACGATTACAGTTTTCCACACCAAGGGGCCTGTGCAACGTTCATGTAAAGGGTTTTGTGATGAGCCCAAAATATTGGGCATTAATTTATTCCCCACGCATGAATAGACTGATCTCCGACGCATGCGTATTGGACCGTGCTAACTAACAAAGAGCTTGTTTATGGCATGGATGAATATTAACTTGCAAAATCATGTGTTTCTGTTGGGAACAGTCTAACGGCACATTTTGCCGCAATGTTGCATATATGCATAATTTTTAGGAGCTTCATCAGCTGTTTAAATGAATTATTTACATCTACACGCTTATTTATTCACGTAAACTGCAATTACAAGTTTACAAGTTTTTAACAGATTTTCTCTGTGTTACCAAAAAGAGTTACCTGATTGAGATAAAGTAGTAATAAATAGGGATAAAATCGTCTTCACTTATTTTGGTTTGGTCATCTAATTATTATCTGAGGTAGTGATCAGAGAAATTATTTTTGCTTGTATGAAAAGAATTTATTGTCTATTTCAAATTTATACCCATGGCTATATATTTTAATTTTCATTTATATAATTCAATATATATTATTAATTAGTAGTATCAATAACATAGATGGACTTAAATAACTTTCGACTATAGCGCAACCATTTATAAAGTAGGTACTTTGAATTAAACTCAATAATTTTAATTAAAGTGAATAGAAATCCAGTTTTTAACACAATCTAAAAAAATGCAATATAAGTATTATATTATAACTAGTGAAAAACATTTCATATTATCAATCATGAGTAGTATATAGTAGTTGTTGCGGCCTCCTTGACAGGACTGCTTGCGGTTTTAAGACGTGACTAGGACAGACGAAAGAAAAAAGACAGACTCGACAAGGAAAAAAGACGGACAATTACATAGATATTTAAATAATTATATTTTACTTTGAAAACAAGCTCTCTTCTTTAATTACGACGACATTTCTCAACGGTCGGCCGACCAGCAGACCGTTCAGTAGTTATTATGTAGGATATAAGATAGGCATAGGCACATATGACGAAAAAGAATAAAAACCCCATAAAAAGAAGAATAAGTATACTACATACTTACATCCGTATTAAAGAGAAGCGACAACTTTTTGCAATGATTAAGGAATCGTTACGTGTCCCCATATTTCCTATAAACTTCATAACCTTTTTACATTCGTACCTCTGTTGATGGTAATATAAATAATATTTTACATTCGTATAAATGGTCACACACTATATAACTGCTAAAAGAATTAACCGACACAAAATTTTAATTTCAGCTTGCCACAATACTTTATTAAAACCACATCGAAATTTCTGAGATTACCGCGAAAATATGCAGACGTAAATTCTCAATTTTGTTTTATATAATAATTTACTTATTTATTTCCTATATACAGATAGTATTCAGTTATAGTTTTATTATATTTATAGATTATTATCACTACCAATGTGTAGACTGTGTGTGTCGTTAGTGATTCAGGAACGGTATTTTTTATGTATTAAATATATTAAACATATATATTTATAAATACTATATTTAACCTAGTAAGTGATATTCAAGATGATTTTCTTGCGAACTTCTCTCAAAAGAAACTAGCCGAATTAGACTGTATAAACTATTATAAAAAAAATACATGCAAATGTAGCAACCATTTATATACCACGTTTCTATTTTCCATCCTCTTTGTTTGTTTTGTATTAAAAAAGTAAATATCCTTTCATTCTTTTAAATGTACAAAATTAAGTTATTAATATACAAAATTATCCGTTCATAATCCATCTTGTATACCTATTTACGATGACTGAATATAAAGTATTCCTACAGAATAATATTATAACAAGATTGAAAGCAAACCGTTTACAGTACGATCTCGATCCTGTCAACGTAAGAAAGTTGTCATTTCGTGACCGATTGAGTTAGGTTAGGATTCTGGTAAATATAGCTCGTCACTGTACGATGGTTTGTCGAGATAGCGACTGTATGCTACTGGAGGAAAACTGACGTTTTTATAATGACATCCATTCGATCTTCATACTTTCATCTGTGTACTATGGGAATTTGTTCTTCCTGAATATGGTTGAAATGATGGCTATCCATCCATCTATTATTATACTTGTAAATATTTGCTGTTTACAGCCACCTTGTACCAATCTATATATTTTTTTTGGAGTCCACATTACAATATATGCAAATAGACAGTCATGACTATTATTACAGATGAAGTAGTGAGATTAATTATTAGTACTTCTATCTCATAGACGTAACACTTGATATGCCCATATTGTAGAGTATATTTGAATCCAACAGGGCAGGAAGCGAACCAAACGCCATCTCTCGGATTAGTTTTCGGTTTGATACGGATACCTGCATCATTGGAGAGTCAGTCAGAGAAATGTAAATTGACACACAAAGACAGCTTTGGTCTTGGCTAGATTTGGAATCAATACTGAAGATTATAACTCCAGTTTACCTTGATCTGAGCCTATAGATAAAATAACAACATATCTTCATCAAAGTATTCAGACTCTTCAAAGACGATATAAATAATAGTAGTAGATAAATTATTAAAATAAAAACATCCCTGACTTATTCCAATAAGGCGATTATAATTAATATCGGTTGTTAAAAACATACAATAATGAACTCTACACAAATGTTCAAGACAAACATGTCAATATGTCAAAATACATCAATAGCTGCACGAAATCAAAAATATGTTAATATCATAAGATAATAATTCCATATTTTCTACTGGAACGTGGACACAGAATATCTGACTTTGATAGTAAGTATATCCGGGAATAATAGGAGATTATTATGTCCATTAATCGCAGTGTCTCAACATAAAAAGCACCCGTATCCATCGTGTATGCGTAAGATTGATGAGTGAGGGAGGATAAAATGCTACGATTTAAGAGTACTGTGCGAAGTTCAGAAGACTGGGACACTTACTATTATCACTTAATGTGCATGCTTCACGTTCTTTTTCAAACTTTGTATAAATTCAAAATCTAGTTCTTGATAAAGAATGATGCACTATGCAATTTTAAATTGATGTTTTAATACTAATTATGCATCGTGTATTATTATAGATTATATGTATATAACACACGAATAAAATATTTCTAATTTATATTATATATTTTGGCATTTATTAAAAAAATATGTAGATGAGATCAAACAAATTAATGTATCTTTAAAGATCATACATGAGTATCCAAATAAAATTAAAATACACCGTAATATTTCGTAAATTAAATCAAATAGAAAACCATTGAAAACTGCAATTTTAGTGTTCATAAAACAAACAATATTTCAATTTATATTTTCGGTGCTCTAACATGTAATGGAAAGAGCATGTGAAGTAAAACTTTTACCTGTACTCTCATGAGGGTTGTATAGCGAAAAATCTTGAAACATGTCTATTTTCGTACTTTGAAAAAGAAATAAAATATCTATTACATTTTGGTCTGGACTGGTACTGGACATATCTCATAGATAGTATAAGATATATATATTCTGGGTATCTATAATCTATCTACTTTATCATTTTTTTTTTTTAACTTTTGTTTAAGTATATACTTACTTCACATTAGTAGGTAATTATTTTTTCTCAAATTGAAATTTGACAGTATGTAGTAGTAGTACACCCAAATTTTTTATGCTTTTAGCAATGTAACAAAATTCGTTTGTTATTTTAAAAGAAGATTGCTGCTTTAGTCTAAAGATACTTTAGAAAACAATGTATTCGCAAAATTTTAATTTCCTTTAAACATAACTAAAAGTTGTTCCATAAGATATTTTAAAGTCTTCAAGAGCAGTGTATCATAAAATCGAGACAGTGTAACGCCTTTCAGCGACCGATTTTCAATAAACCACCTTACAATGACACTAATGCCTGTTCATTTTGAAATATTACAGTCATCGTGCACGACCAAAAATCTTTGATATTAAGATAAAATGTTTTATATCGTCACTAACATGTTCAAAATCGGTAGATAAGTAACTTTGCCATTAATACTTAAAGTTTTATATAGAATACGGAACCATCAAACGATTTTTACAACAGATCATATTATACATATTTATTGACAGAATACAGTAAAATGTATAGTTTGGTAACTGCATAAAATTAATTAAATTAAACTATATTTTACACGATATTCTTGTACAACGTATTTCGATGATTTATTTATGATTGATACCTAAGTTCCCATCTACATAACTGTGGATACCATCCAGATATTGGTAGAGGAAGGCTGAAACAAAGATAGGTGGACTGTGTGAATGACCATGTGACAAGGAAGGGAGTGAATAACGAATGACTGTGAACAGGAATAAATGAAAGTGAAAAACATATTAAGCTGACCAAATGAATGGGATAAGGGAGAAGCAGATGATGATGATCTAAACTCCTATACAAATAATAATCATGATCTTGAATATTATAATATTAATAAATTTATATCGTCTCACCATTCTTTCACTTTCACCGTGCAGCTACAAGTAGGTAAACGTAATTTTATTATTGTTTCATTTCCTTAATGTTCTAATATTTATAATTGTTTTCTTGTTACAGCTGCGTCCGTGGTGATTATCTGAAAGTGTACTGGGAAGTGCAAGGTCCGGGACCACCTGGTGCAATCAGTGAGCGTTCAGCCTGGGCCAAAGAGTTGTGTGGCAGCAGGACCGATGCACCACCAGCCCTGTACTCACCAGGGCCGGCGTTGGTGCTGGAGTTCCATACTGGCTTGAAGCAGAACAACGCAACAGGCTTCGTGGGCACATATAGCTTTATTGACAGACGTAAGTAAATCCTTTTATTTCCCTGCTACGTCATAGAGTGATAGAATATAAATAAGAATAACTATTCTTCTAACCAATATTTTGTAAGAATAACTGTTCTCGAAACCATTGTTTAAGTTAATTTTACAGATATTATTTAGGTGGTATCTTTTTGTACTATAAATGACAATGATTTCATATATAGTCTCCTTAACTTTACTTCTATTCACACATTGTGTGTTTAATATTTCATACCTAGTCTTACCATAAATATTATTACAAGGAAAAAAGTGTTAGTTTATGCTTATTCGAAATTATCTTCATTGACTGCAATACAGTCCTTAAAACCTTGAGGTCAGTTACCATTAGTGGCACGCACTCTTTACATAGAAAAATTGTTTCCTGACAATCTTATGGATTGCTTTATGGACTTATTATTACTTTTAAAACAAGCTATACTTTCTAAAACTGACTATAAATCATAATCAAGCGGATGAAAAACGACTAGATGACGGCCAATCTTCAGCTTTGATGAAGTCCGGAACATTCGTTTCCACCAATCTTGGATGGATCGAGCTTGAAAAAGTCTTGCTGAAAGGACAATTCTTGAATGTAAAACATGAACCATCTTCTTAAAAATGGTATCTTGTGACACTTTTTTTGGCTTAGTCACTCCCACATAGTAACTATCACCTATTAAACCATAGTGGGATAATATCCAGGTCCAGGAGGTTTTTTAAAGTTTTGAACATAAACACGGTTATTATGTATGTTAAAATACTACTAAATTGTAAAAAAAATATATGCAAATGAAACCGCAAAAGTAATTTCTATTTGGTGCGTTTCTGGAAACTTTGAAAAATAAAATTGGCATTGAATTTAAAATCGTATTAAGGTTTAATTTAAAAGCATTTTTACCAATTCCCTGTTGTACCGCTTATTGTTTATCATATTCGTATTTGTATATATGTAAGTTTAGTATAAGTATGTATATAAAATAACACAATACAAGCTCTACTTAATATGGAAGTAGATAGAGTTATATGATATTCCCATGTGTATTTATTTGTTACTACCTAAATTAACCTTATTAACTGCATCATGAGTGGTTCGCCTCTAGATTCCAAATGACCTCACAAAATCGCATCGTCGTCGAATCGTATAATGTTTCATTACTTATCCCGATCTTGAAAGGGTTTCACGTGATCCGAATATACTAAATTTTGGCCCCGGCAACGTATTATGTTATATCAATAGAGATGGACATATTTTATGCTAAAAAATGAGTGTGTATGCATGTAAACCCTTCGTGAAAAACGTGAGCGGTTTTTATAAGTGGATTAAATGTGTGGTACTAGTTATATTAAATTTACCATTTTTAGTAAAATACAATAGAAATAAAATTTAGTAACATTATGTTCCTAGGAGTATCTAAGTATACTTAAACTAAGTATATCTAAGAATATTTGATAGATACCGCTATACGTATTCAACGATTGGTAAATTCAATATTTTTGGTAAACACAACACCAGTACCATTTACAATATGCAGTGAGAATTCAGCGCCTTTGACTTCTTCCTACACACAATTCTTTCTGCATTCACATAATTCGCCTCATATATGTACAGCGATTCCTGAAAATAACTGATTCCCTCATGAGACAACACAATGATTATAGGTTATCTTGAGCGTCCCCTGGTATATAGATACATCCACTGCTACATTCTATATCTATTTCGTCAAAATTCAACCGACAATCGTTCACATGCCCAAATCGATCTCATTAAAAACTAGAGAGTTTTTATTATCTTTCTTACATGTCTTAGGTGTCTAATTATATATCGTAAATACATTTAAATTAAGTATACATATATGGCTGGTATACTTGTATTTGCGCTATATTAAAATGTTTGTTAAGATGTCTTCAAAGTCTGGTACCATTGTTATATGTATTAAGTTTTGAGAAATATAGCTTTACAGAATTTGTACTGTAATCCCGGGATTATAATAAACATGGACAATATCACTTTATACTGTATCATAGTTCTAAATCATAGAAATAGTTACCGCTTTTGAACGGACGCTCAAGCTCGTTCTATTAAATCGGCTCTAAAATCGGATTCCAAAGAGATTTGCGTCATCAAAACTATTTCACATAGACACTGATACAAATTGGTCCTTTTGTGTCAGTCGAACGCTTGGAAACAACGTAAATTACGCTCTCAGTTACATACTACGGTAAGCTACGGTATTATTTATTACAAAGCCGTGAATCATTTTATATACACTCCTTTTTAACCTGTGTTTTCACAATATTTTTATCTATGATTTGTGTTTGATTGTGTGGCATTAATTAATACAAACAGTTAACATTATAAATGTGGTAAAAGAATATTTTACAAATAGAATAAACGACACTTGTCATTATATATTTTTTATAAACTAAGGCGTTAGAAGCGTGAATTATACAAAACGCGGCAAACGCTTTATGTGCCAGTATTACTACAATATAAACCAACAGTTTTAATCCCTAGAACAAGGGCTAAAGCGATAGATATAGTGTAAAAACCTGTTTTTATGCATTGATGTAAAATAATAAAAGAAAAACGGAAAATTTTTCATTTATTTTTAATATAACATCTATTTCATTTTAATAAAATGTAATATAAGTAGACTTATATATGTTGATAACTCATATCTCGTTCCCTTAGAACGAACAAACATATATATATTTCATGACCTTTGTAAGAGAATTACTACATGTCGTTTTGTGTCAAATTTGTTTGCATTACGCAGATTTGCTATATGTATTACCATGGCGCACTAAAATGACACACAAATTGTGTAACGTAAATGCCGCTCAGTGAATGTCATATAATTTACATAATATTATTAGATGCCACAGAAAAATACAAATGAGAAATGCTTTACAGGCGGGAAATGTTGCTGCATACTCATCAACAGTCATACTGATTTGAGGCTGTAAAAGATGTCTGAATGTCGCCTTATTTTCTTTCTACCGTGGAGGACGTTATTTTTCGGTCCGATACAATATTATAGTTATTTCTTTTTTGTAGATTCCCTATCAACTGAAATTCTGTAAAATTATAAAATATAAGTTAAATTTACTTTTATATTTCTGATGTACAATAATTACTACTAAAAATTTGATATGAAATGCTTTAAGTTTTCTAATAGTGTCTGACAGGATTGGATAATAAGATTTAGAATCTAGGTAGTCTACGTCTAATAACCATAAATAAGTAATCTATATATAGGTATAAAATATATAAATACCTACTGTATTTTATACAATTAAAGAAATTTTATACCACAACTAGGCATTCAGATTTTCCGTGTCATTCTATTAAAAACTGCAAATAAAATCAATTGCAATAAATAACTTTCAAACTAAAAAATTCTATTGTTTGGATTTGGAATACAAGGCATGTTTGATCATCATTTCAAAACATTGGTGCATGAAGTGATTAATTTAGTTTCCACTTACTGATCCTCATGTTATAGGTTATACTGGCTCTATTATAAATTCGTTTTAAGACTATACAAGGGAACAATATATATCTTACTGTATTGTTCGGGCTTTCTAAACTTGACCATAAAATCCAAGTATTAAATCTGAAATTTCTTGTCGTCACTTAGACCTATATTAATCCAATGTTTATTTTAACCCTTTCTACAAATATAATTTTATAATGACTAAATATCATTTTGGACAATTAAACGTTTTATTCAAAAATCTTTCAAATTGGAGATGTCAGTTGTTGAATACAATATTAACAATTTCGACAATAAACCTCATCTAGAAATATAAGGTACAATTAGTTATTTTTTATTTTAACCCTTTCTACCAAAACTACAAATTAAATTCAAAAATAATTAAATTCGACATTCATATTAATTAGCCTGCCATGTCGATGTATTTAAAATAATACAGTGTTCGATTACTCTACTATTTATTACACACAACAGGTTTACAGGATCATAATGAAATAGACTAAAATTATTCAGTCGCTCCTTTCCAATATTAGTTCAGTCAGGGCAAGTTGGATTAACTTTCATTCGATTCCAATAATGAGTTGGCTCCATACCACCGCACGCTCGACTGAAATCCAAACATAATGTAGATATCCAGTGTGCTAATATGCTTAAGAAATATGATATTCAACACCAAACTACCATTTACATCCTCACTATCAATGTAAAACAAAATATACTATACTTAGAACGCTAAAACTTGGAAACATAGATTCATTTTATTATTTTAACTGTGAAGATTTGTGTAAATTTCAACTAATCTCCATTAATGAAACTAATTATTACAATTCGCGTGAAAAACGTGGTTTTGCACGCAGCATCGAGTTTAATACAGTCGTAAATACGAAACCTTACATACGTTTTAGAACAGAAAATGCAAATCAACAAATTATTTGTGCTAAATAAAAAATAATCAGCGAATTCTATTTAATTTTAGCGAAAATATTTAGGAATGAAAGCATAATTAATATAACATTAAATCACTTCAGTGTACAAATATATATATTTTATATATTTTTTTTAATAACTCCACTAACAACTGATATACACCGCCAAGTAAGACTACAAAAACAAGAGACTTGGCAAGAAGCCCGGTTTTGTTTTTACAAAAACATGTTGCAAATATGTACGAATACTATGCTACAATATTATGGTATGGTATAAATGCCACACAATCGTACTAAATCAATTGTTCAAATCAAGTATTGTCACATTTATATTTGAAAAATTGTCGAACAACTTTACATATTTGGTATATTTCTACAAAGTACAGTCATAAACAATAACATTTAAATTGCTTTGTGAATTTATTTTAACGAGGTAGATTTAGTACAAAGTCATTTGCGTGACACCATGCTTTGTTAGCTGTGGCTGTAGGTTGACATATTGCAGTGAAATCTTAAGGACATAATACCTTAGTTATCTGGAATAACAACACATGAGTACCCCAAAAGTCGCTTGATGATGTTATGATCATGATATATTTTAGTATAAGAGATGGCTACTTACCATATTGGTTTAGTAGCATATTGGTTTAGACTTATGTTTATATTTTCAACTTTTATAAATATATACAAGAACAATTGTCGCGCAATACGAAAACATAGTATATAGTTTATAAAATATTAATTATGTAATATAATAATAAAAAAAATTACAACACCAAATATATATTATACCATGTAGTTTTATGAGATATGTGACAGAATTTTCAATATGTCTATATAACACATTATTATATAATACTACAGTTATTCGTGATAAAATAAATTTTAAATTCACTCAAAGTTTTATTTTACATTTCGTTTGACACGTGTAATATTGTGAAACGAATATACCTATCTATATGATAATTCAAAAAATCATTGCGCACTATTTCCATGAAATTCTCCTGTAGCTTGGAAACAAATACCTACATTTGAATGATTCAGAGAAACATATTTATCTACATATATTTCCGGGATTACTACAAAAGAGTATTTATTAAAGAAAATTTATTTTTCTACTGCAACCAATCTACTTATTGGTAAAACTAATACAACTACGCTTATAATTTTAGTTCATAGGCAGTCCAATTATACATAAAAGATATTAACTTTATGTCAGTATAATTTAAATTGCATTTTTCTTACCTTTAATTCCTTATTTTATACATTTTTCCAGCCATCGATCAATCCCGAAGGTACTTTAGATGTGTAATGGGAATGGGTGACACATTTATTTTTTTATAAATTTTATTTTGTCTATATTTATGCTATATTATAATTAATATTTTTAGGATACAGGACGTATTAAGAACCATTGTAATTGGTTCAGAATAGATTAAAGTAAATATAAAAATATAAATAATTTATTCACCTTCTGTTTTGAATTATTTACAAAATATGACAATTGTATTTTTTAATAAAAACATAGCCACTTCACAATCTTAATTGCATTATACAGAATTTAAAAAAATAAACATCAAGACTGTATATGTATGTACTGAATATGTATTACAGTTTTAAATGAGACATTAATATTTGAGTAAAAAGTAAACTTCCTTATTTATTATATATCTATATATAGATACTAAATAAAAAAATAATATATAAATATAAAATTTAATGTTGTTATTTCATGATAAAATATACAATGTCAGTTTCCTATCTCCTGTGACGGAAGATGAACGTGAAGCCTGAAAACGCTCAAACGGGATATAGTAGGCTTCGGCGGACCGGCTTATCGTGGATTACATGCATATTGAATAATACTTCTTACTCGTAGCTTCTTGGCCTAAATATTTATAAGCAGCCTACAGTATACAGTTTTATTTCGCTTAATGAAACACAAATGGAATAAAATTACAATTTCTTTTCTTACTAGCCGTTTTCTTTGACTTTGCCTACGTACACAATTTATCTTAATTTCCTGTGGATTGTTTTATAAAAACTCTTACTTGACGGACATTTAAACCGAGAAACCTACAAAATACAACATTAAAAATCTAGTTCTTCTATGTCGTATTACAACACTCTATCTCCAATTAGGGTCGATAGAAACGATGTATTATATAGTACATAATACTGAACACAATTGTTAATACTTATTTTTTAATGTCTCTTTAGACTCTCCATACTACTTTACACATATATTGAAATATTGCAAATCATTTATATTATTAGAATGATAACACGATGTTAAAATAATCATAAAATGGTCTGAAACTGGATCTGAAGATCATCAAATAAAGTCAGGAATAAAACCTTATCAATTTGGTATTGCATTGGTTTCAGTAGTAATCAGATATTTTATTATCACTAACAAATACCTGCAAGGGAAACGATTTCAAAGTAACTGGTATGCATTGAGATCAACCATATATTATTTGTAGGTTTTTAATTCCTAACAAAATGAATAAAAACATTGGTATAAGTATGATAAAAATGTATGTACACGCAAAAGGTCACATAATAAATTGAAAGCCAAATAAATAGATAATCAGATGTAAAAATAATGTTTTCCATTTACGATTTATTACTTTTATATTTTGTACTTTGAAAACACCAAAAGATTTAAGTGCAAATGTGCTTTTTAGTTCCTTGCCATTTCACAACTCGAAAATAAATTTATCTTCAAGATTTCATAAAACATTAACCGAGTGGAACTGGTGTAAATCTGAGAAAAGCCTTGCAGACGGTAGAGTCCGAGACTCAAATAGGATCAGGTCAGGCTTTGTAGAGAGGCTTATCGGCCACCTGCTTCTATGCATATTAAAGCCAACAGTCCCACAAGTTGGCGACCAGAGGGAATATTCTATTAGGTGAGAAAGAAACTTATTCTCAAAGTTCTATAAAGAGTTCTGTTTGTTATTTACAATCAGGATGCAGCATGCATTGTAGCAAAAACGATGTATAATATCAATCTAAAATATAAAATAAGTTCTTTGTATGTCTATTGCGACGACAGGACAGGAATTCTAAATAATAATAAAATTTACTATTCTTATGTTATCAGATAGGACACACTCGTACACTTATAGTTCTTCCTACTACTAGGGTTCATTACACAGGTAGATTCGGCGGCTTAGACGGAAAACGATTATAATTAATAACTGATACAACTGGTTCCTTGGCTATGTACTATGCCTTGTTGATCTCCACTAGATCTCTCCAGCAATCCACGAGTTCTCCGCCCGCGTATACCCTAAGGCCGGCACTTCATTGCATACTCATCTAAAAAAATTCTACACCACCTGTCACGAGTCATCAATACAAACATGAATATAATTAGTAAGGAAAATATACTATTATGAATTTATGCTGATAAGAAAAAGAAGGTGATTATAAATAATATGCAAATTAGCAGTAGATAAGTAGATTAGATACACTAGAGACAATACAATATCTTTGCTGTTATTGTTTAATAGTAACAAATTTGAATTAAGTATTTTTTTATAATAATTATAACCCAGGATAATCCGCACAAAGTGAGCATATACATTTTTGTTCATAAGTACACACATAATATACATAGAATATATATTTTTTTTTAAATAATATAAAATATTAAATATATATTAACGTGCTAAATAAGTACTTCAAAGTCATATTGGTACAGTGCGAATATTATCAGAGGTTAAAGTTGAAGTTATTGCGGACTCTAATCAGCATTGATAAGATTTATTTCATAACATTCACGCAAATATTGAACCTCGATTGTTTTTATAATACAGTATTGTTATTGTTAAAGTGGCCTATATTGTTACGAGGCATATTATTATTATAAAAAATATTTTCTGTGTAAATTTCTATAATTTGAAATTACAATACTTACACCAGGATAGCTTTATCATTAGATATTTTGAAATTACACTCATCGATTTTAAATATTTACTTATTGTATAAAAAACTCACGTGCAATGATTAGTGATTTTTACTACGACCTAGAATCGGCAGTTGTGTGTTCGACTGTAACCGATATCAAAAACATTTTTTGTATAAATTTTGTGTTCCTCATTTACTCTCCGCTGATGGAAACATTGATATCAAGCCAAATTAATCTGATTTGCGATATAGTCATATTGGATTCATATGCGAGTATAGATATATATACAACGAAATATGGAGCGTTATTATGTTGCATCCACTGAGACGTCGATAGGTAACAATGCATCGACTAAGGATAACAGTAATGTAGTCATATTTTTATTATTCTTATAGAATTTTAAAGATAATAGAATTTTAAAAATAGCTTCATTACTATTTAAATATACACCAACCAATACTATTGTAAATACTATACTTGATAAAAAAAAATAGGTAGGCCCAACTTATAGTTACTTACATTTATTAGATGGTAAATGTGAGTTAATCTACTTCATTACATTACATAGTATAAAACAAAGTCGCTGTCGCTGTCTGTCCGTTCATATGTATGCTTAAATCTTTACAACTACGCAACGGATTTTAAAGCGGTTTTTTTTAATAGATAGAGTGATTCAAGAGAAAGGTTATAATATATGTACACCCGTGCGAGTAGCTAGTTAGTATTAAACTAAACATGAATTTGAAATTACTGTTCAGTTTTATATTCGTTCCATTAAAGGTGCGCATAATTGAGCGTGGTCAGCTAAATCGCGTCGGGTTTTAATCTCAAATTATGTAAATTTCTAAATTGCAAATTGGTCTTCTTAGTTATTGGTTTCTTTACTACTACTTATGTACTACATTAATGCTCTCTACACAAACAAAAAGTGCTATAATGCGTTTACAGGCACTGTTCTTGTAACTTAAAAAACCTTCATTGTGTGGATTAAGGAGCACAACGAGTAATATCATTTGGTTAGACGACTGATCTATATTACTAAAATAAAAATATTTAAATTTCATTAATTTATTTATCTGTATTATAATAGTATTTGATATTTTATCGAACTTTAATGCATATACAAATTATTCAATATTTTTAGCGCCATTTCATCACATTGTTAATTAGTATTCAACTAACTAATGGTAATTTCCAATCATTTCTGTACTTATTAGATTACTTGGGCGTTTCTTTCTTCTCACCCAGTTCCTTCAACTGAAAATAATAAAAATTCTGAATGAGATAGTTTCTGACAGTGATTAGTTCTCAGTTTCTTTATTTCAGTGAATTAGGAGACGTGTTTTCAAATATAAAATAATAGAAATACCACATCAAACGTTCATTATTCAATTCTTTAAAATTATTAGTTTATTCAGTTGTATTAAATTAAAATAAATTAAGGGAAATCATGATTTATTTGTTGTATATTTGAGTATACTTACAAAATAGTACACACAAATAATTAAAATGTTTAAAGATAAGTACGATCTCGTTTTAATACCAAACGGCTTGCTCTGTAAACTGTGTTTCGATTCGAGAGTGTAGATTAGGTAGTGAAATCACAGGAACAGCATGGCAACGTATGAGTGGTATCATGGAGTTTTTCAAGAAGGGTATATTAAGCTTTCTTAAGAGTCGGCAACGTGCATGTGATACCCCTGGTGTTTCAAGCGTTCATAGGCTACGGTAACCATTTACCATCAGATGGGCCGTATGCTTGATTGCCACCATCGTAGTATAAAAAAATATGTATATAGTCGACGGTTGCCGCTTATCACCAAGTGGACCGTCAACATGTTTGCCATTCCGAATATACAAAAGAAAACTATATGCTCGCACATGCTAACGACGGAGTGTCACACTGATGGACAGATGGACGAACAGTCTATCTAAGCTTTATAGTCTGGAAATATTCAGATAAATAAGAGGACCTACTTACATTACCCGTTTTTTAACTTTGGGTATATCCGGGGAAGGTAGGCGGGTACTGCCGGACTCTTACTAACTAAAAACCCCAATGTGATCATTCTTACTTAGACATTATCCTAAATTAACATATAATGCCTTCTACTTCGAATTCACAGGGACGTCATCGCGGTACACAACTAATATGGAAAATTATATTGAAAGTATTTATATAAAAAATATAATTAAATTATATTATATATTGAGACAAATGTGAAATTATATATTATCATTACTTACTGTCTTGCTTAAGTTTTCAATAAAGTCATTGACGTCCTTCTTAATCTTGTCGGAGTCGAGCGCATTCTGCACTTGTGTACCAAAATTCTTGGAAGCTTCTTCGAATTGTTTCTGAAGATTTTTCAAGATATCGTCGCTGGCCGCTGGGGTTGCTGTATCACGTTTTACGAATGCGTGTACCTGTACGATATTTTTTTAAGTTCTGTTATACTTATTGCATTGATGTTGATTTTTTACTGCTACTATTTGTACCACACAATTTCATAAAAATACTGGCTTTCAAATATTTAGTACACAAACCGAAAGTTAGGTAGGTACGTGTACATTTGTACTAGATTAATATATATTTTATTGGTTTGCATCTCAAAAAAAGTTCTCGTTAATTGAAAAAGTAAATAAATCAAAGAAAAATGAAATATGTGTACAATGGCACTAATAATGCCCACATGAAAGAAAAAGGGCAAAAATAATAATAACGGTCTGCGTAACCGTGTATTATATTATCATTTGATAGCAGATTCTGTGGTTATTTATGAGCATATTTTTCAAATTTATTTAGCTAATAAGTTATTAATTTTAAGACTGTACGAAGTAATAACAATTGTAATGGTTTACCATTAGTGACCAAAATTATAAATATTAGTTTAGTAAAGCAAATTAATTAAAACAATATAAAGATCTTCCGTAGTATAAAATAAAGAATATAAATAGTATAAAATATTAATAAATATTCGATAGAGTCTAAGAAGATAGAAGCTGGATATTTAAGGATATTATAAAAGTAGGCAAAAATAATAGATATGTCTCATTACTTACATTGACAAGGCATACTGCCAACAGGACGATCAGTAGTTTGTTCATCTTTGTTTCTTTTGCTTCTCCTTACTTTGCTTGTACAAGTGAAAAGACCGGGATCAGTCGACAGACTAAAACTCTCGCACTAGCAATACCCTTTATCTATGCTCTGCACAAAAGTCAGGTCATATTTGCTTTCTTATCACCGGTTCCGGGTTGCTTGTTAGGAGAGCTAATTAATTAATGACTATGCAATGAACATTCATCGAGTTCATTTTATCTACTGAACTATTATTTCATTGTAGTCTATAATACATAGGCAACGAATCTAGACTATGTTTGCATCCTGTCTCTGGTAATTAGGTACCTATTTTATTTGGTATTTTTTGACTAAAGTATTCTAATATTCACATTCGTAGTTATATAGTGAACATAATATACCCTTGTTTTCGGTAATCACGGGCTTGAACTTCATATGATACGAATATATGAAGGTGTATATCAATTGATTATTTATACTAGTCTGGTGTTTCTTGTTTTCTATCCTCGCTTCTTAGTTTGAGACTAGATAGTGCTGTGGGATATGCTAATAGAGATTTATTTCATTTACTCAACCCTCATCACTGTAAATAGTCGATAGAATCTGGTGGTTCAAAATTTAATTTTGTACGGGACGTTCGGTATAATTTTATTTACTCTTTATTAAAAAAAATAACAATGTATTACACATGTTGAAAAGATATAAATATGCAAATTAATATAATTTGACTACTGATGCGCTACTAGCTAACCCATTTAATATTATTTTTCCAATTCAGTCATATTTATCGGCAATTTTAAACAGTACCGATTTTGTTTGGTTATCATGCCAAAAAAAATGTGGCACTTTTGAAACAATGCGATTTTTTTGTTTCAACGTACCTTGTACCTGTATCCTGGTTGTAGCAAGTCTTACGGTAATAACTCACTTTCAGGTATATTCGAGTACTATGTTGTAAAAACAACATTATAAAGAAAAACAAACATATGTTATTACTAAAATAAAAATAACTTTATCCAATATGTAGAATGTATTATTGTTTTTATTATTGATTTGTGTTTTAATATTCACATTATTGTTAGTATTCAACTATAACTATTAAAATGGCAGTTTTAAATATTCGTGTAGACCCTATTTTACTTCGATGTATTTTTCTTCGTCAGTTGGCTTACCTGAAAATAATTAAAATAGATATTAGTTATTGTCAAGCGGTTACATCTATAAGAGGAGCCTTCAAAATTATTTCAAAGCTAGTTTCCCGATTTTTCAATTCTTAATAAATAATAGGTATTCTATTATTAAACTTAACAAACGATTGAACACGTTCATTTCCATTATATATAGGTACTATTATTTCAGATTTTTATACTAATTCTAACACATAACATCCGCTAAAATGACGACGAAACTGATTTATACAGGGAGACGGATGAATGAATAATAAGTACCTAAGGGTAGAAGGTAGTTTAGTTAGACTTATTTCAAGTAGTGTATATACTTTATATACACTACTTGAAATAAGTCTAACATTTTTTACTGTAATATAAATCTTGTAGGACTTATAGGATAAATGTAAACGGATATACGCATTATTATACTTACAGTGTTACTAATACTTTCTATAGCGTCATTTAATTCTTTCTTTAATTTCTCAGCGTCGAATGTACTCTGGAATTGTGTACCAATATTCTTAGCGGTTTCTTCGAATTGTTTCTGTAGATTTTTCAAGACGTCGTCATTGGATGCTGTGGCTGCTGTATCGCGTTTCACAAATGCGTGTACCTGTATAATATGATGTTTTAGTATTAATAGTGTATTACGTCTAAGATGGATTCTTTTCACTGTTATTATTTCACGACATTGCAAAAACATCGACTTAAGACACTTGCAAAAATTCTAATATAAATATTTAAATGCAAATTAAAAAAAATATAATGAATATTAATTGGAAAATAGTGATGATTATCCGGATTTAGAAATAAAGCCGAATTATGATCTTGTTATTTTAAAAGTAAATTTAAAGATGCTTTTAATAAGTAAATGAAACGCTTCCATTACTTACATTAACAAGGCATACTGCCAACAGGACAATCAATAATTTGTTCATGTTTAGTAAGGTATACTTTGCTTCTACAAGTGAACGAAACGGGATCAGACGACAGACTAAAAATCTCGCTCTAAAAATACTCTTTATCAATGCTTTGGATAACAGTCAGGTCATATTTGCTTCCTTATCAACGATTCGGACTTGCTTGTTAGGAGACTGATTATTTGATGACTTGCAAAATGAAAATTCCCCGAGTTAATTTTTTCCGCTAGAAATAGCTCAATTCGTTGTAGCCTATAATACATAGGCATAGAATACATGCCTATGTATTATGGACTACAATGAATTGAGCTATTTCTAGCAGATAAAACTATGTTTATGTCCTAACATACTTTAGAATACACAACTGATAAAAGTGTACCTACATAAGTAAAGGTATTGTCCGTCGAATTAATATTATTATTATATAGTAATATAGTAGTCCTATAAAACGCAGGAATTAATTTCATAACTATTGTACATACTGCCTAAACCTGGCCTCATATTATCCGAACGGCCTGTGTCGGAAATGCCGTTCCAATGGTTGCTACGCCCGCCCTCTTCAAATGCTCAAGTATATTAGTAATTCAAATAAAACCACTGCATCAAGACTCTTAATGTGAACCCACTCTCACTCTTCGTGGGTAGCGGCTAGACAGTCAGACGCGGATGATCTTAATCTTCATACTAATACAGTACAAAGTATGTGTTCGTAAGTATGGTGGTGAAGAACAAAAGGACAGAAAAGTCCATATACTAATATGTGGCGCTATTTTGTATGTTATCAGGCACTTTATTTCTATACTTCCACTTTTTAATAAAAAATAACCCTGGACAATTAACACAACGCCAACTAGTCCCACGATAAGCAGAGCTTGTATTATGGGCACTAGACAACGGATATAGATACTTAGATTTTTTTTTGTAAATACATAAAACACGCAGCCCAATACAAACAAGCATATTCATGAATAAAAAATTTTGCACCGTGCGAGGAATCGAACCCGCGACCATCGGAAGTAAACTGTGTTAAATCATGTTCTGCTAACCGCTAGACTAGCGGTCAGCGGGCGACAGTGGTCTAGAGGTTTAGGTAACCCGTCAAAATTAATGAAATTGAATCAGCAAATACGAAACACCTAATAATAAGTGGTAATCGCCTATAAACTTGTATCTCGGATATCACGTCGCCTCGTCGTCGTGTTACGCCCGTGAAACTCCTAATACATTGCCATTTCAGAATACTAAGGTACCATGACTCTACAGCATGCTCTGTAAATTTTTTGTCATTTCTCAAATTTTAAACCTACACACAATATATGCGTATAATGTATGCGTAGAACACAATGTAAGGCAAGATTCAAAAGGAAACTTTATAATTATATGTTGAAGCAACAGGATGAGTGTTAACAGCTTTCCGTTGTTATATAGGATATATATTAGTAATTTCTTTGTATATATATATATATATATATAGTACCTCTTATAGCAAGTATTTAAGTACATATATACTATTGTTATATAAGCATGTTACTATTGACATATATACCTAAGTTAGGTAAATACAAATAGTATGCCTTTTCCCATTACTGCCCTTCAATCGCTTTCTGTTTTTACCCCAATGGTTAGCTGGTAGAGAATGCCACGTGGCATTAAACTCATCAATTGTACATTATTTTAAATGGTGCAATAAAGGATAAATAAATATAAAAATAAATATATATATAAAATAAACTACGCGGCGGCAGAAATAGGTGAGACACATCTGTCTCATCTGTGTCTCTATGATAAAATATCTCTTTATACCCACGCAGACCACTTTATACCTCCACTTCGGTAAAATTACTTCCTACGTACAGATCAACAAACAGATTTCATCTATTTATAATATTACGATAAGAACGAGTAAGAATTCTATGAAATATGCCGCAATGAATTATGTATCATAACAACAATATTTCTTGTTAATAAGTATAAACATTTTATAATAAGTATAAAGTTAAGTTGTAAATAATGACAATTAGATATTGTTTGCCAACTTTATTGTAACAAAACACATCAAGTTATAAGGGTTATGAATCCTGTTACCATTATAAACTAACATAAAAAGTAGGTACTTAATTGAACTTTATTTATTTATAAAAACTGAGTTAATCTGAGAAAGTTAGTTAACTGCAGTTACATCTAATTTTAATTATTAACTTTTAATCGGGTCTTAACATGAATAAATTTATGGTATCTATCTCCCTCGACGATTCAACGAGGTTGCCCTCACTCATGCTTAACCATGGGTAGGGCAACCGTTAACCTGAGTACGGCAATGTCGTGCCAGTAGTTTTTTCTACTAGCATTACTAAATTTCGCAAAGAAAGACTACCTGACACACAGTACTTACGGTATCCGTAAATTTATTGACTAATGCTACAGAACTTTGATTGAAATTATTTATCACAGACGATAATTTTAACCAATCTAGCTGACTGCAATTGCATATTTTTTTTTCATTTCTATCACTTAGTGGCATTTAAGTAGAAAAGACAGTGAAAAAGAAGAAGCAGTGTGTAACTCAATCCAGTAAGTTGGTCCAGCATTCAGCATATCGGCAGAATTATTCGTTTCCAGATCGATTTACATCATTCGTATTATATAAGTTATAACTAACGAATATCTAATTTATTTTAAATATGTCCTCACAACTACTCCTGATTTCATTTATGTAAGTATTCATATACATCATGTTCTGTCTGATCCGAAAAGACCCAACGTAAAGATAAATTATAATAGAGCGGAAATCGAATCCGATTCATGAATTTCAAGTCCTCAAACCACAGGATCACTAAAGCATTGTGATGAGACATCACATTTCTACAATATCTTTATAAAGCTTGCTTGTAGACCACTATTTATTTAGGACAAAACATCTATTACATAAATACTTTAAATAGGGTTCGGCAAACGAATTGTTAGTACTGGGGGTCCAATTTTAAGTGTTTGCTCGGCCTCCCTTGGGATCAGGTTGTTTGTGAAAAAGTTACAGCAAGAAAATATTTCTGGCGACTTTTTTGTAAGTTACACTCATTTTCTGGCAGGAGTTCTAAATTAAATATTTTTGTATGAGTAATTTGGTATTTGATACTGATACAAAAAATACGATTTCAAGTGTGATATTTAATTACAAGGCATTCAAAGTTGTTTTTATTAAAAAATAATCGACAAAATTGATTTTGAAATCGATGAAGCACAACTTACGTATGCTTACAAAATATATTAAGTACTTTCTGTTTTGAAGTCGATTATAAAATAAACACATGTTGGATTGTACTAAATGGAATGATAAAGTAATATGTCTATACTATATATTATTCTTAACAAAATTCAAAGAAGTTTAATTTTACATTATAGGTAGGCAATTGGTTTTCATTAAAATTTCATCCACAAAATTAATATAACGCGGATCAATATTATTGTTTATCCAAAATACATTAATAGTTTATATTTTATAAATTAATTTGCATTAGAAGCTGGAGATGGAGCAGTCAGGTCTTGAATCTGAAATATACGAACATCGATTTAAATATTATTAAGAATTAATTGTGACTTTGTTTAACGATAAATGTATCTACATTAAAAGTATATATAAATTTATTAAGAAATAGGGCTTACATTAGTTACCTATTTATTAAAATTCTTATTTTCATTAAAAATATTAAAGTTATGATGAACAATATAATTATGAATAATTAACTATTAAAATTAGTCATATAATTATATCTATATAGCTTTATAAATATTATCCGTATCTTTATCTATTAAAAAAAAATGTTATATACTTTAGAGATTTAAGTCTTATCTCACGAAACTATAACTAGATGCCAAAGAAGGCTTGTTAGCATTAGTTCCATTTGGTAAAATCTACGACATCTCTGAATTGATTTCAGCTCCGTTAACACCAAAACTTCCACGACAATTGTTTCACGCTACTTCATATGATTAAATTTGATTCATACATATATCAAGTTGTGTTTAATACTCATACTGAGTATGAAACTATTTCGACTAAATGATACACTAAAAAAAATTAGATATTTATTTACAAGTGAAACTATTGATGAAACTATTTCCATGTAAATTATGTTTTAGTACAGGTTCTCACTAACCTATACTAAAGCGCCGTGAATTTACTATCCTGAATCTCACCCTAGAACCAAAGAGATCAAACGAAAAAGTTATCCTAGACGCGGCAAGCTTGCTTCCTGCCATCTGAGATAACAGTGGTTATTGTATTCTGGTTTGTGTTTGTTTATAGATTACTTGTAAAATATCCTTACCGCCTTTGAAACTCTATTGACTTGATCACCAATGACACTGAATATCGGCTGTAGTTGCTGCGTACTGACTTGATTTACCGAATTAGCCAGAACTTGGTCAACACATTTTCTGAACTCGTCCACATTTGCCTGTATGGATTGCAGTACATTTGTTTGTGGAGGCGATACATCTCTTTTCACGAAGGCTGCAATCTAAAAAAATATAAAATACATTGCATTCCATTCCCTTTCATTGTTGTATACGGATCTAACAGAAGAATATAAAATAAGTGTATACTAAAATTAAAATCCTGTGAATATATGCTGTACGGTTTTAATTCCTATTTTCCTTTGTTTTAGTGTATAATATTCCGCAAATTATTATCAATCATCTGTTTATAATTAATAAACAAATGATTTATAATACTTCTGTTACATCATAAACTTATACATACATTATAAATACTGATAAGACATTATTTTGCGATATACAGCGCATGAAGGACATTAATCATTTGAAGAAATAAATGGCACAGTGACTCTATACCGGTAATCGTCGGCAAGAATAGTTACTTCAGATAATATTACAGATGATTTTCTTATAAATACTGTTATAAAATCACCTGTAATATTATCTATCAATGATGACAAGTCTAGTACCTTCTACAGAAATAGTATCCACCTATTTTTTGCATTTACAGTTGATTTTCCAATTTTTGTTAATTATACAAGTATTGCGAGTATATTTGCCATAATCAATATAAACAGTATTGATTATGGCAAATATACAACCAACTAATTTTTAATAATAATAATAATATAATAATAATCTCAGGACATTCACACAGCGCCATCTAGACCAAAGTTAAGCTAGCTAAAGCTTGTGTTATGGGTTCTAAACAACTGATACAAATACATAGATATTTTTTTCGTAAATACATATATATTATACATAGAAAATACCCAGACCGACCCAGACAAATAATCATACTCACGAATACAAATGTTTGTGTCCTGCGAGGAACCTGCGACCATCGGACGTAAAGCAGTGTGCTAGACCGCTAGATCACCGAGGCCGTCAAAATTATTTATATTTCAATTTCATTAATTTTCTCGCAATTACAATTACATACTGTTTTAAATTTTGTTATAGAATTATTTGCATCGTGTAAATTCAGTTAGCGACTTCACCGATACCGAAAATTATTAATTATTCAAACTTTACATTAAAATTGGTCAAAATTTACATGCGTAGCAATTAACGCAGACCATGTCATGATCCTTTTTTAATTGCAAGTATAAAATGTGTCCATAATGTATAAATAATGAATTAATATGGGTGTTGTTTAATTTATAGACTTTAGTTGAATACATTTTACTTTTGGTGAGCATTCAGTAGGTACGTTATTGTTATAAAGAACTCTTAATTACATTTTTCAATCAAAACCAGATTTTACAGCCACAACTGAAAGCTGTATTCTATTTCTTTACTCTTTAAACTAAATAAAAAACTTTAAATAATAATGTAATTATTGTCTCAAGTCTGTGGTGGTGGACTTAATACGTAAAAAAGTAGAGTCAAAATAGAATAAAATAAAATAAGTTTAAATATTTGTTAAATTTGGATCGAACAATTTCAGCATTTGACGAATTTTGTTGTCATGACAGTAAATTAATGAATTGTGTTACTTACAATTAATATAAAATCAAAATTAAAACATCAGAGATAAGCTATATTGCTCTATAGAATACTTATAGAACTTTATGAGTACGCTCTTGAAATATCGTTATTTCTGTTGTAATGAAACACTGATAAATGATTAAAATAACGATTTTGTTGAATATTACATTACAACAAAATCGTTCTTTTAGGTAGAAAATTATAAATACAAATAGGTAATAAAAAGCCACAAATCTTTCGTGTTGACTAGTGATTTTCCTGGCAGATAAGTACTACCTGTTCATATCAGTTGTGATGTCTCCTTTAGTACTACAATAATGACTAAAGATTTATTTTTAAAGCATTTATGACTGTCTTTGTGATTGCTTGTTTAAAACATAATACTTTCCGAATTGCTTTCCCCAAGTGTTTCCGTTACAAAGCAAACATCTTGCATGTGCTGTCAAAAGATCGTACCTACTTCCCTTATCTTCATATTGAATATTAACCTAAGTAAATATAAGAAATATGGTAAAAATTCTTATTTTGTATCAGGCATCCCTTTGAATAAGTAAGCGTTATTTCAGATATTCAAATTATTATGCATATAAGACAAGAAATCGCAATACAAAAAGCAATCCATAATATATGATGTTTATAAGAGTTCAGTAATGTTATTAATATTTCTGAATAGAATATTTTGTTAGTCAAATAAAATAGAATTGTATATTTATGTCAATAAAAAATATTCTCCTTCACCAATATTTAAAAATTGAATAATTTAAATAATGTTCCATTAACATAAAATTTTCTAGCCTCGATTCAAACTTCCATCACTAATATACTTAAAGTGTGTATAGTTGTATTCTCCTAAAGGTATAGATATAGTTGTATTCTCCTAAGGTAAGTAATCTATGGAATAATTTTATGGTGTTCTTACATGTACCGAATTGTTTGAACAAAATAATAAAAGTATGCATTTTTTTAATCAGTTACATTCTAAAATCATAATATATCTAATTAATAAATCACTGTTTCCATAATGAGTTCTATATCAGACATGTGTACTCATAATACTCACATTAGATATTAACAAAACCAAACAGAAAAGAGTAATAACTTTGTAAACCATTGTAACACGATAACATTAAAACAGAGGTGAATATGAACTAGTGGCATGGTGTTAAATAGTAACTCTTTATGTACATATCAACACGACGTTATATTTGATGTCATTGTGTTTGGACAACATCCATACGGACAATATAAAAGGACTGTTTAATAATAGAATTTTATTATATAATCCCAGACAGACAGAATTGCCGATTTAAATCATTTTATTCTATAAAAAGATCCGATTTCCGTTCAGATTTATTCAATTTATTTATTTGCCTTATTCAATCTTGTCTTATATTTAGGATATTGGAATTAAACCTCTAGTACTCCGTGTTTTTATATTATTTTGAACTTTATTTAATGATGGAATACAATTGATATTACAGAGAATGTATACATAACACCTTAGTTCTTCAGTATAGCAACAAATGAGGGGCACGAAAATTACTTAATATCCATAATGCGTTACATATATATTGGCGATGACCACTTACCATCAGGTTACCCGCCAGCTTATTTGCTATTCCAGTGACATTATAAAAATTAAAAACAAATTTCATTCATAGTTCATGTTCTTGTAGGTCCCATTTTGTTAGCTTTACGTCTGTAATTAGCCATTACTACTTGCAGCTGTTCTAACAATCGTTACATGTGGTTATGGTATATTATGAAGTTCTACGCCAATTACAGAGGGATACCTATTTTATTAGGGTTGCTTAGTAAGGCTGTGAAGATACGACACCGATGATATTTCAAAGTTTCAACTACTTATAATAAGTGATGATATAATATCGTTTACTATCAAAGTAATAATTTTGCTCTACTATGCGGTAGAAGGCGATACGTTATTTCTTTAATGAAATTCTTTCTATCATTTCTTATTTTCTATCAAAAATGTTACGTGCTATAAAATAAGTTTAAGTCAATTATTTAAAAACCATCTAAAGACAAGACAAGTCCCAAACACAGCTAAAAGGCTCAAAACGTTATGACACTTTCTACTACAACGGGGGTTAATATATATATGTATTTGCAAATAAAAACTGACTGCTGAACATATATTATTATAAAATAATGTTCCAACATTCGTCACATAAGTATTGAATATGACCTTGTCACGTCGGATGTTGACGATCGAAGTTCAGTTTAGTGTACTCATGTGTAGATACAGTGTGATTTTCTCTTTGACATGACAACATTATTAGTTTTTACGTATTTAAATGACACATTAGTTACGCTGAATATTAAAATTACACATCTGCCACATTAACACTTCTAAAAATGATACACTCAATCACAAGCACACTTTTTTTTAATTATGTAGTTGACGCGACTGTATGCGTGCGTACATTTATAAATATAATTGGTGATTGTCTCGGTTGCGTAGCAGTTTAGCAAACTACTGTCTTACTTCGGATAGTCGCTGGTACGATTCCTTGCACGGTTCAGATATTTGTATTCATGAGTATGATTTTGAGTCATATAGTACTTATAGACAAATTAGAATAAAACAAACTCAGTTTAGCTGGATGTCTGGAAATTCGCAATGTCCAAGGTTATTATTATTACCGACTAGCTAATAAATAAATATATTTATAAAATTAATTCAACCACTCCATATTTGAATCAGTCTGTACATTAGATACATAGACAATGGATAATAGCGGCTGCTGCTTCAAAGATAAACCTATGCGTGCCTTTTACCGGTGTTTTACAGAACATTAATATCTTGAAGTACGGTCACCAACATTTATAGCTTTGAATCTGACGCGAATACTCTACTGTAGCTCTTGTTGTACTTGGTATACTGGCTATAATTGTTGTGCGCATTTTTATTTAATTTTTACATATGCTCAGCACATAGTTTCATTATTTCTAGTAAAAACTAAGATTTTCAACAACATCACCATATCTAATAAAATAGATGACTCAGTATATAATAGTAATAAATATCTTAATTACGATGGTGGCAAACAAGCAATCCGTTGCCTATGGAATCCTGAGATAGTAGGGGTGTCATGTGCGCATTGCCGTGCAAAGTGACTACTTACTTAATTCGAAAGATATACATATATTAGTAAAACAAACGAAACATAAATCATTATGTAACTAGAATGGTAAAAATATATTAAGTACTCAATTTCACAACATGTTACATTTAGTACTGTACACATCGGATTTGCAGAGTATTAGTAGACCACCAATTACCGAGGTAGACATTCTCGCCTATTTCATTTTGCAATTCGAAAACACGGCTACACGAAAATTCGAAACAGCTTTCAAAAAGCTGTGTTTCGGTTGTATGGTGAGATATGGCAGTGAAATTACAAGATAAGAGGCATGATATCTTAGTCTTCCGAAATGGCAACGCATACGCACACAGATGTCAAAATTATAATATTATGGATATTGCTGGATATCTGAGTGTTAATCGAAGCCTAGATACAATAGTATATAGACTTCGATTGACACTCAGATATACCATCAACTTGTTTACTATTTCAATTGCATAAATAAAACCTCGACTCTATAATACAGTCGCTGCTGTGTAAAATTATTTATTCAATGGGGTAAACGAATACTTGATAATCTGGATAATTTGGATGATACAAATAAGGAAGTCCTGAGTTAGGGTAAAGGAATGTCGTCACTGAATCTTTAGACGATTTTACTTCAGGTGTAACTTCTACAGGTCCAACTAAAATATCATCCAACTCATCTGAATAATTCAAATAACGGACACCATCAGTATTACTCGGAGAATCAGAATCATTCGTAGAATTACAATCACTTGAAAAGTCAGAATTCTTCGAAAAATCTAAACCAGCTGAAGTGTTTGTGTCGAGTATTTCTATTATTTGTGATAAATCTTCATTTAACGAAAAGCTTTCTTCAATATGCTAAAATATAATGTTATAGCGTCATTAGTTCATAGAATTATCATTATTAGTACTTAAAGTGCAGTGGTACTTGAAACTCATATGTAAATCACTTTAACTCATATGTAAATAAATTCAGTTGTAAATTTTCATCTGGTAGACTTACTTATCTTTACTATCATAGACTATTCTAAGGATTTTTGATATTATCAATAACATTTTAATTTGTTATTATTGTGCAAACGTGCTTTCATGTTTGTTTGTGATTGTCTAGTTCGGACATGCATATTTGTAGACCTAGTTGTTATTGCTGTACAATAATAACCTTGTACTGCAAGTACAAACGAATATAATTAATTGACTGTCTCGCACGGTTCAATCAATTATTTTCGTGAGCATGATTATTATTTGAATCGAACCCATGACCATCAGTAGTAAGATAGTATTGTACCACATTGTATCGATAACAAATGATAATGCTAATACTTTAGTAGATTGTTATTTTTTGATATAAGATTTTATGAGTTATGCGTTTTCGTGTTCGTACTGTAATTTATTTTATGTTACTTTTCTATCCGTGAAAACCTGTAAGTGGCCGTTCTGATTTAATGATTATACGTTTATAACTGTCTGTAAATAGCCTTGGTTTTCCGAACATAAATAAATAAATAAATACAAGTCATTACAATGTATAGTATTGTGGATATAAACCCAATTTGTAACTAAACCATTCAATTGTGACGAACAAATAATTGGACAAATAACTTACAGCGTGCAAAAGGACAGGATGGATTTAAACTGCTCAATTTTGATTACATATACTAGTATAATAAAGGTCCTTATAGCTTACCATATCTTCTATCTCGCTAACTATGTTGTAGAATGATTCTTCTATTTTTTCTTCAGAAACATCCTCATCATTATCGATTTCATAGAAAATTTCTTCTATAAATTTCGCAATTTTGTGTAATATTTCGCTTACTTGTTGTCCAATTGTTGATTTACTATACTCGTATTCATAGTGAATACTGGATTGATAAGACTGCAATTGAAACTTCAATATTAATATTAATATAATTTTTCTGTACGTATGTTTATCCTAAACGACTGTAATGAATTCGAAGATGATGATGAATTTGGTGTGTGTATATTTTAATGAGTTCTTGGATGGTTTGTGACTAATATTAAACTCGGAGGTAACGTATATTTCCGGGCAGGACGTCTGTCCGTTTGTAATTTGTATTACTAAAATTTTAACGTTTAATAGAGTTGCGCCCAATATTTAGTAGGTTAATGAACATATTTACTATTGATAGAATTACAAATAATTTATTTATAAATGTTAAGTTAAACGTTTAATTATACTGATTAACGAATAATTATATATTACTTATAATATTGCTCGTATTCGTATATACAATTAACTTACGTCGTGAAGTAAAGATGTAATGCAAATGAACATAAACCATACTGTATGTATTTTAGCCATATTAAAACTTTAATTAGTGCTCAGAATTTCGAGGCTTGGTGCACTACTAAAGGGATTTGTTTTTTTGTTGTTCTATATATAAATATGGAAAACAACGTGACTCAAGATACTCACGTATTGTTGCTATAAAAGTTATCTAATAGGATTGTTTATAAAGATTATAAATAGTTGAACAATACATAAATGGATAAAAATTAATAATATCTGCATACTAGCTAGTTATCACCCGCCACTTTGCCAGCACAAATTTTACACCCTATATTTACACCTAGATTAACTTTTAAGGTATAAGATAATCTACTTCTTTAGCTATCTTTTTGTCTGTTCATCCTCGTAATATTCTTAATATTAAAATATCATTAAGAGGAGATCAGGTTTGTAAGGTCAAAAAATGGTATATGTTTATGAATTGTTATTGCTGAACTTGTCAATATAAATGAAATAAACGTAATGAGGTCTTCTTTGGTGTTATTTCAAGAGTTATTTTCTGATATTTTCACACGTTCAGCCATTTAGTTGTGACAAAGTAAGGAAAAGATGGATAGACTGACAATTTTGCATTTAAAATATTAGTATGGTTAATTTCTTCTACAATTGTAAACAATTATAAATAAAGTTTAAAAAGTTGTTCACACTAGTATGTGTTTATTTATATC